ATTGGTAATTTGGCCAATTTCACACAAAATTCAAAATATTCCAATATCAAAATAGGGTCCAGAATAACCAAAATAACATTTCCTCAGTTTATTATGTTTCCAGGCTTCACAAATGAATTCTATTTTTATTTTTCATTTGCAAAGAAATTTTATTCACAAAGCAGAAGTGTTATAAGAAGAGCAGAGTATATGGAGAGTAAAAGAAAGGGGAAGAGTGGTGAGAGAGTGCAAAAGGAGAGCAGACGATAGAGTGGGGGAGGCAGTCAAGAAATTTTAATGAAAATAAGAAAAAATTTTGGAACGAGTCAAACAAGTTAAGAAAGCCTAGGGAATGAATGGATTTGTCAGTTAAAAACAGAGTATGGCAGTTAGTAGATGGGGAGATGGAGGCGTATGTCGAAGAAAGGGAGGCGGTAATTTCATGCATTGGCCAGGGAGGTATACCATATTTTAGGAGTGAAGAAGAGCAGGATGCGAGTGTGGGGGAGGTGCATGCGGCAATACGCAGAATGAAAGGGGGTAAAGCCTCTGGAATTGATGGGATCATGACAGAAATGTTAAAAGCAAGGGGGAGGACAGTGTTAGAGTGGTTGGTATTTTTGTTTAATAAATGTATAAAAGAGGGGAAGGTACCTAGGGATTGGCAGAGAGCGTGTATAGTCCCTTTATATAAAGGGAAGGGGGAAAAGAGAGATTGTAAAAATTACAGAGGAATTAGTTTACTGAGTATACCAGGAAAAGTGTACAGTAGGGTTATTATTGGAAGAATTAGAGGTAAGAGAGTAGGATTGCGGATGAGCAAGGAAGTTTTAGAGTGGGTAGGGGATGTGTAAATCAAGTGTTTACATTGAAGCATATATGTGAATAGTATTTAGATAAAGGTAGGAAAGTTTTCATTGCATTTGTTTGATTTAGAAAAGGCATATAATAGAGTGGATAGGGGAGCAATGTGGCAGATGTTGCAAATATATGGAATACGTAGTAAGTTACTAAATGCTGTAAAGTTTTTATGAGGATAGTGAGGCTTAGGTTAGGGTGTGTAGAAGAGAGGGAGACTGCATACATCCCGGTAAAAGTAGGTCTTAGACAGGGATGTGTAATGTCACCATGGTTGTTTAATATTATATTTACAGATGGGGTTGTAAAAGTAAATGCTAGGGTGTTGGGGAGAGGGGTGGGATTAAATTATAGGAATCAAATACAAAATGGGAATTGACAGTTAATTTTTGTTGATGATACTGTGCTTATGGGAGATTCTAAAGAAAAATTGCAAAGGGTAGTGGACAAGTTTGGGAGTGTGTGTAAAGGAAGAAAGTTGAAAGTGAACATAGAAAAGAGTATGATGATGAGGGTATCAAATGATTTAGATAAAGAAAAATTGGATATCAAATTGGAGAGGAGTATGGAAGAAGTGAATGTTTTCAGATATTTGGGAGTTGATGTGTCAGCGGATGGATTTATGAAGGATGAGGTCAATCATAGAATTGATGAGGGAAAAAAGGCGAGTGGTGCATTGAGGTATATGTGGAGACAAAAAAACGTTATCTATGGAGGCAAAGAAGGGAATGTATGAAAGTATAATGGTACCAACACTCTTATGTGGGTGTGAAGCTTGAATTGTAAATGCTGCAGCATGGAGATGTTTGGAGGCAGTGGAGATGTCCTGTCTAAGGGCAATGTGTGGTGTAAATATTATGCAGAAAATTCGGAGTGTGGAAATTAGGAGAATGTGTGGAGTTAATAAAAGTATTAGTCAGAGGGCTGAAGAGGGGTTGTCGAGGTGGTTTGGTCATTTAGAGAGAATGGATCAAAGTAGAATGACATGGAGAGCGAATAAACCTGTAGGGGAAAGTAGGCGGGGTAGGGAGTTGTCCTCCAAAAGGTTGGGAGGGAGGGGGTAAAGGAGGTTTTGTGGGCGAGGGGCTTGGACTTCCAGCAAGCGTGCATGAGCGTGTTAGATAGGAGTGAATGGAGATGAATGGTATTTGGGACCTGACAAGCTGTTGGAGTGTAAGCAGGGTAATATTTAGTGAAGGGATTCAGGGAAACCGGTTATTTTTATATAGCCGGACTTGAGTCCTGGAAATGGGAAGTACAATGCCTACACTTTAAAGGAGGGGTTTGGGATATTGGCAGTCTGGAGGGATATACTGTGTATCTTTATATGTATATACTTCTTAACTGTTGTGTTCTGAGCAACTCTGCAAAAACAATGATTATGTGTGAGTGAGGTGAAAGTGTTGAATGATAATGAAAGTACTTACTTTTTGGGTCACCCTGCTTCGGTGGGAGACAGCCGACTTAAAAAAAAAAAATGAAATAGAAGATTTACCGTTATGCAATATTGTAATAATTGTATAAATAATATTAGCGCATTCGCGAACGTACATTAGACCCAGAGGTTGACATGTATTGGATGCGTGATATTACTTGTTTACTCTTGAACATCAACAAAACTAACATTTCTGCTATGTTGAGCTCAATTTCATACTATTTTCAGTATTAAACCAATCAAAACATCTATTTCTGTAATGTACCTTCCTTTCTATTAAATGAGGCCAAGAAACCATGAATACAACTAACAACCATATGAAAATACATACACCGCAAAGTCGGTGTTTTAATCCAAAAACCACTGTCATTTTTTTTTTTCTCATTATGCACTGCATGCTGCAGGATTTGTTTTAGATGGTGCACACTTATCACATAGATCCATTCTCTCATATCTAGGCCCAAATTTACTGCTCACAGTATCCGAGCGAGCTGAGCTCATGGTGTAGAACTATGGCTTGTACCCTGTGGACAAGGCGTAGATCTCCGGCTTGGACCCTCAAAGGGTTAACAGATTACTAAACATCCTTTAGCATTAATAAGATGTATTTTGATCTCAGTGCAGCAAAGCAGCTCAAATTTTCAGGTAAAGAACTGCAATTACTAAATCAAGTGGGGATTCTTATGTATGTAAAGCCAATATTTAACCAATTTATACAATGTTTTTCAGACCCCATTCCATTCACTTAGCAAATAATTTTTTTTAATTATAAACAAACTGCTTGTTAAACATCTTTTATTTTCAGGCGATACCTAACCAAACTCATCATGCAAGCTGTCTTTACTCACGAAATCGTAATAATATGATTGCAAACAAACCACAGTGTGTAAGCCAGGTCAGTGTGCAAGCCAGGCCAGTGTGTAAGCCAGTGGGCCATCTAGCCCAGTGGCTTACACACTGGCCTGGAGTTTTATGACTTGCTTGCCATGAGTTCGAACCCCACCCATACTGTGGTGTTTTTAAAGCTATCTTTCACTACAATAGGGTGGTAACAGTTTTGTTGAACAGAAATTACCTACACTCATTTTACAAACAAATTAACCCTTTAACCCCATAACCTAACCAGGTCAGTCAAGAAACACACTCAGGAGAGGAGCCCCAGCACAGCAGGAGTACTGTAACTATCTTTTACTGTTCTACATGTCATATTTAAAATGGTCTGCAACACATAAACACAACCACAAAAAACCGACTCTGAAAAACAAAGAACAGACATGGGGAACACAATGAGCCGAGGTACAACAACGCCCGAGTTATGGGTACCTGCACGGTCATCCAGCTCAGAAAGTTTCTGATCCCTTTCCAGGACCTTTTCCACGTTTGTCCGCATGATGTCCACAACCTAGAGCCCACAAAAATCCGCCACACATGGTAACAATGAGAAGGGAAGGTTTAAGAAGAGTGATTCCAAATCAAATCATACATTAAACAAGAAACACCTACCATGGAAAAATACTCATAAGTAATGTTTATACTGTAACCACATACATACCAACAATAACATATCCCAAACACAGAAAAATTAAAAAAAGTGGCCGTAAGACAGGAAAAATCAGAACAGTTTTATGGCAGTTAACAGAGATTTAAGTTGAGTAATTCAGCAATACAAGGGCAGTTAAATTCCATAACTCTGAAATGAAGGTCAAACAATCAGCTTCCACCATTCTGCTGCATCCCAGGCAAAGTTAAGCCTGTCATTACCTGCTCCAATCAATTCAAAATGCATTAACAAAGACATGTAATGCTTGGGCTTCAAAGAGGCTGATAAACAATGTTGTAATACTGAAAGATCAAACCCAAATTATCCACATCATTGTATTAAAAAAAATTCATATCCAAAATATTTATAAATCATTAAAAAAAATTAATATTAAATGGGTAAAAATCCAATAAAATTTTTAAGAATACTTTTGTAATAAAATTGACTTGTAATACACATTGATCAGCAACAGGGATGATATAAACATTCAATACACTCAGTAACTTGCTACACTATTACTATTTTTGTGCCATAAATTTAGAACTGTGGTGGGATCAAACATGCTTTAAGAACTGCTGAAGGAGGTTATAAAAAAAAAAAAAGCCTATTTACCATACACATTTATACCATTATCCAATAACAAGAGAAGTGACTAGAGCTCTCTTAAGAAGCCAATATAAGTATGTCTTAAGAAAATTATGGTTTATTTCCAGTGTTTTAATAATGTGGAAAATTGGAGGGCTTAGAATGTTACACAGTACTCAGTGAAAATTTCAATTTACAGTAATGTATATACATGGTACAGTATTATTAAAAAATGTCAGTAGTACTTTTGTATCATTTAAGGCAACAAAAGCTGAAAAAAAAAAAAAAAAAAAAGAAAACATGCAACCTCATCTAAAGCCCAAGTGCCACTGCCCCTAACAATTTACCTGAGTCTTGCTGCCCTAACCTACAGCAGAGAAATATACTCTCCAAGCACCACTTCCAGCAACCCCTTCCTTTTTTGTATGTAAATTAATTATCCAGTTATACAAGCATTTTCAAGGATAGCAAGGTCAAGACTGGTTAGTATGCAGCAAGTCCACTTCACACACTGATAGTAAAAGCATAAGCCCCAACAGTATGATCTCCCTGAAGCTGGTAGGCAAGGAGGATCCAAGACAGCCCACGTCCTTTAAATCTCACCTGCACGATCATCTAGTTCCGATAGTTTCTGATCGCGTTCCAAAACTCTCTCCACGTTGACTCTCATTATTCCAACAACCTGTTTTGCCAAACAAAAATGCAAGCAGTGCAATAATAAAAAACAAAAACAAAAAAATATAAACTGAGTAAGAAACACCTTCATAAATACTGTGAATAGATCTTCCAGTTTGCTAAACAATTCTACATTTGACTTCCAATTGATTTTGTGGGAAATATCCTCTGGTACCTAAAAATGAACTCTACTATGCTATGCATTTACCATATTTTAGCCGTATCTGAGAATACAGAGTACCGTACAGTCGAATCCATTTATTGTACATACTCTAAAAAAAATTACTAATGCAGAATCTCTCTGTGGCTAACTGACCACCTCAACAACTTGAAAATTATCTCTGTAAAACAAACATGACCCAGGTAAAAAAAAAAAAAAAAATGCTTTTACCATACTCAAACCCAGTGAAAATGTTAGACGAGCCTCTTCAGTTCTCAAATTAGAGCAAACGGTGAGAGGTGAGAGTAGCACTTCACACCACCAAAGTTTTGGTGGGCAATTCAAATGGCGGCAAAAAGTTGTGAATAATTTTATTCCATGTTTACATGGAATTCATACTGAACAGTAGTATTCTGAAGCCATAATGAGAGCAGAGGATCAGGAAGATGTGTTAAGGGAGGCCTACTGAAACCAGAATGAGCGTGGAGGACCAGCTTACTGCAGCCAGAATGAGAGTGAAGGACCATGACTACCATGTAGCTGCGATATTAATTCATATTTACACAGAATTTAATTCTTATTTACGTGGAAATCCATTATAGCTTGTTTGGGTGCTATACATAATTTCCAATTTTTACAATGGGCTTGAGGGTGCACAAGCATAATGGGCACATTGGTATAGTATATTATAGATTTAACCTAGAATAATCGATATGTTATACCGTTTATGTACCTGACTTAGTTGAACACACCTGACATCTCCCACCAAAGTAGGTGACCCCTCTCCCCATCACTTGCTATCACTGTCTTGCCAGAGGCATAGCTCCAATGCTCCTCCAAACTGCAATATTCCTGCCCCTCCTTCAGAGTGCAGACACTACTTCCCACCTCTATGACTCCAGTTCAGCTAACCACTTCCCCTGAATCCCTTCATAAATGTTACCTTGCTCACACTTCAACAACATGCTAAGTCATAAAACTTGCCTCTACCTGCCCCTATCTAGCATGCTCTCGCATATCTATTAGATGTAATAGCCCCTCTTACCCCTCCAACCATTCCAAGGACAACTCCCACCAATCATTCCCTCTACTACAGATTTATTTACACACCGAGTCCTCTTACTCTCCTCCATCCTCTCTAAATGTGCAAACCACCTTGATATCCCCTCAGCCCTTTGGACAATACTTTTATTAAGCTCATGCCTCCTAATCTCCAAACAACTTCTTTGCATAATATTCATACCACACACTGCCCTCAGACATGCCATTATCACTGCCTCCAGCCTCCTCCTTGCTGCAGTATTTAAAACCCTTGTAATAATATGTATTGTAATATTTAAGTTGTGCAACTGTAGAACAAGCAAGAATGTGTGTAAATAAGAGAACCACACATTTAGTACTTAAAACTGAGTGGGGACTTAATGAAGAGGGTAAGCCATCAGAGAAGCAGGTCACCAGGGCAGTGACCCCCAGGAATCAACTACAGGTAATGCACAATTTTTACAATGAAAATGTAATTTCCACAAATTCTATCCCCTAATGTTTAGATGACAGAAGTCAGTATTCCACTCATTTTATATGTAACCTAGCTTCTACCACAATGTGTTATACATTATGCTACAATTAGATTCCCATGCCTTCTTTGGTTCTATATCTAATGTAATCAGGATGAATTTTGCAATTATTGAGCATTCTGTGATGTAATAGTGAAAACGTGTGAACAGATGATAAAGATGTGGTGAGACAAGGGTGCCAGATTTCAGAGCCACTGCAAGAGATCACTGAAGATATCACTGGGGCTCTGCATACTGTATTCATATATTAAACAATGAGTGGCTTGCATTAATGAAAAGTCTTATAATTCTAATAAATCCTTCTATCACATGATGCTTAAATTACAAATAACATCAACAGGACAACCAGTTCACATTTCCAATGTAACCTTGCATAACCTAGGTACAATATCAAGCATTACACTGCAATTACACACGTCTTCTTCTCAAGATATATCTGAGAAGGATTTACTTTTACTGTGTTCAGTGCTACTATAACCATATTTTACAATTTGTTTTCCCTCCAGAGATTTGCCTCATGGTTATGATTATAACAAAATTTTAATCGAGATATACCATTCTTGACCACAGCAAGTTTGTGATAGGATTCGACTATACGGTATTTTGCTCATTTCATAATAGGTGAATTGCACTCAATTTCTATGGTATATTCTCATTTTAATTAGAAATCAGTGTAAAAGGTTCAATTCCAACATTCGTGAGTCCTAATTAATAAATACTGCCATTGGTTCTAGTTTTCCCGCCTTGAAAACCGGCTCACTGAAACTTAATGAAAATAGCCATTTTCTATAACCAGTACACTCCCAATTAATGAGAAATGATGTGGTAAGACCGACAAGATGTAGAAAAAGACAATTATGTACAATTCAAGACATTATAGGAAATGTTTCACCATGAGTGTCTTCTTCAGTCCTAATACAGAGGTAACTAAGTGGCAGGTGTAAGGTGGTAAGCCACAAGGGTAATAGTAGTTGTAGTACAACTTTGCTAAGATGGGTAACAGTGGTCTCCAGAATGGGTAATATCCTGTTGATTAGCAATTAGGATATAGTGTAACTTTCGGATTTTTGAAGGATGGTGTTACCAACTGCAATTAGGGAAGCCTCCATACGCTTTTGCCATCAAAAATCCAGAAGTTACACTATATCCAAAATGCTAATCAACAGGATATTACCCAGTCTGGAGACCACTGTTACATGATGTTGACAGGTCCTTCTCAAACCCAACCCATCTTACCACAATTGTACTACCACCACTATTACCCTCACAGCTTACCACCTGACTCCTACCACTACATAAATTCATTTCTTAGTTATCCCTGTATTAGGACTGAAGTTACTTGTAATGAAAAGTTTCCAATAAATATCCTGACCTGTACCTAGTCTTTTTCTACACACTCAATTAGCATTTTCCCTGATTAGCTTTGGCACCACTTACTACTTGCCACAGAAAATATTTTCAGTACAGAACTCTGAGGCTAGTGACCCTTCCATGTAATCATCAATCTTTCTGTTATACAGTAGTTGTCCTACAACTCTCTGGTGCAAGTATATAAATAAAAATTGTTAAGCCTTCCATGTGAATTGCTGTAATGTAGATGGAAGTAGCTGAACTTAAGTATCTTAATTCCATTAGACAAGACTGGTACAAATTAATATAGCAAATAAGTATACACGTATATGTGTATGTATATATATATATATATATGTGTATGTATATATATATATATATATATATATATATATATATATGTTATGTATATATATATATATATATATATATATTGTATGTATATATATATATATATATTGTATGTATATATATATATATATATATATATATATATATATATATATATATATATATATATATATATATATATATATATATATATATATATATATATATATATATATATATATATATATATATATATATATATATATATACATATATATATATTATATATACATATATACATAGTTCCTTTGTATAAAGGCAAAGGGGATAAAAGAGAGTGCAAAAATTATAGGGGGATAAGTCTGTTGAGTGTACCTGGTAAAGTGTATGGTAGAGTTATAATTGAAAGAATTAAGAGTAAGACGGAGAATAGGATAGCAGATGAACAAGGAGGCTTTAGGAAAGGTAGGGGGTGTGTGGACCAGGTGTTTACAGTGAAACATATAAGTGAACAGTATTTAGATAAGGCTAAAGAGGTCTTTGTGGCATTTATGGATTTGGAAAAGGCGTATGACAGGGTGGATAGGGGGGCAATGTGGCAGATGTTGCAAGTGTATGGTGTAGGAGGTAGGTTACTGAAAGCAGTGAAGAGTTTTTACGAGGATAGTGAGGCTCAAGTTAGAGTATGTAGGAAAGAGGGAAATTTTTTCCCAGTAAAAGTAGGCCTTAGACAAGGATGTGTGATGTCACCGTGGTTGTTTAATATATTTATAGATGGGGTTGTAAGAGAAGTAAATGCGAGGGTCTTGGCAAGAGGCGTGGAGTTAAAAGATAAAGAATCACACACAAAGTGGGAGTTGTCACAGCTGCTCTTTGCCGATGACACTGTGCTCTTGGGAGATTCTGAAGAGAAGTTGCAGAGATTGGTGGATGAATTTGGTAGGGTGTGCAAAAGAAGAAAATTAAAGGTGAATACAGGAAAGAGTAAGGTTATGAGGATAACAAAAAGATTAGGTGATGAAAGATTGAATATCAGATTGGAGGGAGAGAGTATGGAGGAGGTGAACGTATTCAGATATTTGGGAGTGGACGTGTCAGCGGATGGGTCTATGAAAGATGAGGTGAATCATAGAATTGATGAGGGAAAAAGAGTGAGTGGTGCACTTAGGAGTCTGTGGAGACAAAGAACTTTGTCCTTGGAGGCAAAGAGGGGAATGTATGAGAGTATAGTTTTACCAACGCTCTTATATGGGTGTGAAGCGTGGGTGATGAATGTTGCAGCGAGGAGAAGGCTGGAGGCAGTGGAGATGTCATGTCTGAGGGCAATGTGTGGTGTGAATATAATGCAGAGAATTCGTAGTTTGGAAGTTAGGAGGAGGTGCGGGATTACCAAAACTGTTGTCCAGAGGGCTGAGGAAGGGTTGTTGAGGTGGTTCGGACATGTAGAGAGAATGGAGCGAAACAGAATGACTTCAAGAGTGTATCAGTCTGTAGTGGAAGGAAGGCGGGGTAGGGGTCGGCCTAGGAAGGGTTGGAGGGAGGGGGTAAAGGAGGTTTTGTGTGCGAGGGGCTTGGACTTCCAGCAGGCATGCGTGAGCGTGTTTGATAGGAGTGAATGGAGACAAATGGTTTTTAATACTTGACGTGCTGTTGGAGTGTGAGCAAAGTAACATTTATGAAGGGATTCAGGGAAACCGGCAGGCCGGACTTGAGTCCTGGAGATGGGAAGTACAGTGCCTGCACTCTGAAGGAGGGGTGTTAATGTTGCAGTTTAAAAACTGTAGTGTAAAGCACCCTTCTGGCAAGACAGTGATGGAGTGAATGATGGTGAAAGTTTTTCTTTTTCGGGCCACCCTGCCTTGGTGGGAATCGGCCGGTGTGATAATAAAAAAAAAAATTAATATATAATATATATATAATATATAATATATTTTAATATATATTATATATATATAATATATATATATATTATATATAATATATATATATATATATATATATATATATATATATATATATATATATAATATATTTATATATATATATATATAATATATATATATATATATATATATATATATATATATATAATATATATATATATATATATATATATAATATAAATATATATATATATATATATATATATATATATATATATATATATATATATATATAATATATATATATTATATATATATATATATTATATATATATATATATATATATATATATATATATATATATATATTATATAGAAGAAAACTTGTGATGCATCTAGAGTTTGAGAAACTGTACAATTCATGAAACTTTAGCACTGTTGCTTCAGCTTAGAATTATTGCAAAACTCTTACTACTATTTTTCAATCAAGTGTAATATAGTAATATTAGTACAATATGTACATATTCAAGATTGCCTAATAATTGAAAAATGTACTTTAACTACAAATTAAATTTTTAGCCATAATTTTCCTGTAGTAGGGATCAACCCTGCAACTTACTCACAATGAACCTTTTAAAACTAGATATCTCTAAATTTACAAGACAAGTTTGTACTGTACATTAGTTAAAAAATGCACAAAAACAGTAATATCACTATGTGGTATATACGGAGATAAAAGCCGAGTCCACCCGAGGACAACAAACTCCTCCACCAGTGCTTCAAACACACTTGCCAAAAACAAAAATGCTTCCCAAAATTCAAATCACATCTTCTAATTTAACATGCTTTCTTAGGCCTACCTGCACGAGTCTCAAGTTCTGACAGTTTCCCATCTCTGATCATCACGAGTTCCACATTCCTACACATTACTGAGGTCACCTGCTCCACCGCTCAAGAAATTGGATCAAGTTTATCATTATTGTTAAAGGATAAGTGGCACTTGGTAATACACAAACTGCTACAAGCTATGGCTACTAGTAAATGAGAAGGACTTCTTTGTCTGATGAACATTTGAAAAATATCATTGATAAAATGACATAATGGCCAATGAAAGATGAAAACTAAATCCTTCTCATATACAATGAAGCTCAATAAAAATAGACACTGACATATTATATACAAAGGTCAGTCACTTTAACAAATCAACAAACTTGAAAGAGTAGCTTACAATCATTTGTTTGAAAATTTAGGCTCAAAAGAGGCAAGTGGTAATGAACAGTAACTGACCTTGAAATTAATGATAAAATCCACAAGAGAATGTAGAAAATGATAGTATTAAGAGGCATCTGAGGGTTAAAATCATCACTTGATCAGAGCCAATGATATCAGCAGTGCAACAGCTCAGACCAAAAAAATATTGGGAAACATTCTTCTAGCTACAACACCAAAGTTTACCTTAAGTAATTATTATGTACATAAATAGGTCTGTTTAAAGTTTAGCATAATTGACAAATTATAGAATATAAATTTATTTTAATATTTAATCTTGGTTCAATGATTCCTCCAATAAAACCACATTATAATACCAACAAGTTGATGAATAAGACACATACAACACTGGGTATTTTTACTGAAACATTCTGCCTGTGCAACTGGCTTTATTAACAAATAAAGCATGTTGTGCATGAGAAACATATCTCAATAAAGATACACAAGTGTAGCACATGTATCTTCATCAAATACCATTCCTAAATCCCTTTAAAACCAACATAATACAGTACATATTTTGTTATAATCAAAACTGAAGGGATTTTCCATAAAACAAATGCAACAAATTTAATTCACTTCAATTTGGACCCATTCTTTATATTCAACTTAACACCTAGTCTACTACGATATGTACTCTCAACTTCAAAACTAGAGTCCAAAAAGAATAAAATAACTGCTAGTCATGGCAATCATGAAGATTTGTGTGTGCGCAAGTGAAATCTAGTAGCATCCGACAAACTTTTTCTTCAAACTACCAAAAATCTGAACAAAATGCTGAAAAGTCAAAGCAAACAAATTCTCTCTACAGTGGACCCTCAGTTATCGGCCGTTTTTTCGGCTTCCAGTTATCGGCCATTACTGTGCTTATCGGTGGTACTGGACGCGTCCACTCGTGCATTCCTGAGTCATTGTGGCTGTGTCTCTGAGCAAGTGAGGAAGCTTCTGCTCATTCATCCAAACATTTCGCTATAATCCAGTTTCTGGAGGTACGTAATTAAGTGCTACTGCAAAATAAGTAACCATGGCCCCAAAGAAAGTTCCTAAAGTTCCTTTGTTAAAAAGTGAGAAACACGATAGAATTCAAGGCAGGCAGGCAGAGGCAGGGAGTGTAGCAGGAAGGAAAGGAGTGTAACAGGGAGGCAGGGAGTGTAGCAATGTTTATATGCGATGTATGTTTAATAATAATCACTCTTGGGCACATTAAATGTCTTATTTTAGGCTAATATAGAAATTTTCATTAATCCATACATGATATTTTCAAAATTATATAAGAAACGTTACATAGCATATAAACATCCACTGTTTATATGCTATCGAGTGGAGAGCTGGGTGGAGAGTAAACGTTACATTTTATATGACTCAGCACTAGAGAGAAAACTGTGAATCTGGAGTCTCGCCCAGTAACCGTCCTTCATGTGTGTTTGTTTACAATTCTCGGCATGAATTATTCATTACTTCTTCCTTTGTTTATGATGGCATGTAAAGGTAGTTGTTAAAAACAATTAAACTCAGTGAACATGGTAATATGGCTGTGTAGTGTAGCCCGGGGGGGGGGGTTACATACATGTATTGTACCTACATCTACTGCCGCCTACACTGACTTCCTACAAATAAATACTACTCACCTCTTGCTCTACATTAAGTCTACAAATATTTTAAGGTAAGTAATGAATGTACTCATTGTTTTCTGTATGTAAAACAATAGTTAATCTTTAAAAAATGTATTTTTTGCTAATATTTTTGATGTCTGAAACAGATTAACTGTATTTACATTAATTCTTATGGGAAATATTATTTCGGTTTTAAGCCTTTTCGGCTTTAGGCTGATCTTCTGGAATGAGCTACAGCCGATAACCGAGGGTCCACTGTACTAAAGTTCTCACTGCCTAATTCTGCCAATCTACATCCACAACTTGCATAAAGTGAATTATATACAGTACTGCAAAAAGCCCCTCTTAATTTCCTTTACTCGCATTAACAGTGCAAGTTGGTTACAACCCAATACTAACTCGAGCCACGGGTCCATCATAAGATCACCCGCTGAAGAACACATGCACCTTTATGGTAAGAGGCACAACAAAAATGTATCTGTTGGCCTGCAGTGCTGGGAACAAGTGTTTACAAGCACACACACAAACATAGGGTTCCTGCTGGCCATAGGATAAGCCTCAGCAGTAAACTTTCAAGAATTTCTCATTCTCAGCAAAATTTGTTAACGCTGCCTTACACATTCTTTTGCATACCTTTACCAATCACTTTTACCTTTTTCCCCTACTGTCTGCCTTCCATTTATTATTACTGAATTGCAAAAAAAATTCATGCCAACATTGTCACTATTACTGTACTATTTTATTCTAATCATTTCACCAATCTGTTTTCCTACCCCCAGAAGCCTATGTTGCATACACGTACACTAATCCTAGCAAGGAAGTAAATTTTCACAGTTTGCATACAGTATAATACATAATTTACATGTACTTTCTGCTGGAAAACAATTATGATACTGTCATTAATTTCTATGCATAGGTAATTAGGAATTAAGCTAATTCCAAAACTGTTTAATAAATTTTGGAACATTTGTACACAAGTTACTGTAATGACTTTAGACCAAAAAAAACAATATATATTTTACAAAACTTGAACCACATGCATTTTAAGAATTCATTGTATTGGTACTGTACTATACCATCATTATATATCAATTTATCACTACACAAGAGCTCTTGACAATCCTCAGCACAACCTACATCACTGAAATATCTCCTTGTGTGCACTCCTCCAAATGGCCTACTATGGGAAGATATCCTCTTCAGATTACTGCACTACTTATTCCAACTGAGCGACACTCTCATACCTCATCAACTTGTGCTTGAGTCTGTTGCATTCGTTTCTGTGCTGCGACCTGCTGTGGTCCACGTGGTCCCCCCACAATCTCTCCATTCTCTCCTGTGGGAGGGTCGCCCCCAGGAGCAGCACCCCCTGCCACTGCCGCGCCACCCTCGGCTGACCTATAAATCAACATATATTAGTGATTATCCCAGCTGCTAACTTTGAAAGAACAAGTCTAAATTTTCAAATTACAGAAAATACAAATTCATGAAATTATAATGGACGGAATACTAGCGAAATAGCTAAGAAATGGGTTGTATTGAACATTAAAACTGGCTTAAAATAGGACTCAAAGTAGGCAATATTTCCAATGCTTCAACTGCACCTAGACTGCCAACCTTGCACCTTTGATATACTTTTGATATACCTTTGAAGAGTTTCGAGAGTTTATCTACCCTCTGAGCCCGGCCATGGGCCAGGCTCATCTGGTGCTTGCCTGATCAACCAGGCTGTCGCTGCTGGAGGCCCGCTGCCCCACATATCCATCACAGCCTGGTTGATCTGGCACCCGGTGAAGATACTTGTCTAGTTTCCTTCTGAAGGCTTCTACACTTGTTCCAGCAGTGTTTCTAATATCTTCTGGTAAGATGCTGAAAAGTCTGGGACCCTGGATGTTGATACAGTGTTCCCTTATTGTCCCCACCACACCCCTGCTCCTCACTGGGTTTACTTTACACTTCCTCCCATCTCTCTCACTCCAGTATGTTATGGCAGTGTGAAGATTTGGGACAAAGCCCTCGAGTACCTTCCAGGTAGTATATATTATCATGTACCTCTCTCTCCTCTGCTCCAATGAGTACATGTTCAAGACTTGCAGGTGTTCCCAGTAGTTTTAAGTGCTTTACTGGCTCAATGTGAGCCGTAAACGATCTCTGTATTTGTTCCAGCTCTGATATTTCTCCTGCCCTGAACGGGGCCATCAGCACTGAGCAATATTCCAAGTGAGGGAGCACTAGCGACTTGAAGAGTGTCACCATCAGCATTATTTCCCTTGGTTTGAAAGTTCTCAATACCCACCCCGTCATCTTCCTGGCTGTCGTGATCTTTGTCTTGTTATGGTCTTTAACCCTTTGAGGGTCAATAGGCCCTCTCAGAAACTCGTTCTCAGGGTCAGCCAAATTTAAAAAAAAAAATTATTTTTCTTATGAAATGATAGAGAATCTTTTCCCAATCATAATGACACCAAAATTATGAGATTTGATGGAAAACTTATGGAATTATGCTCACGTGAATTTAGCAGTCTCGGCGATGTTTACGCATTGGCGATTTTGCCCACTTTAAGCCCCATTTTCCGCCAATTCCACTGTACTAGTCGACAAAAAACATGAATATTTCGCTAGAACTACATTTTTTTCTATTGAATAAGTGCAAGAAACCACCCATTTACCATTTTCAACTATCCAATACAGTGGTCAGAATTTAGCAATTTTGCCAATTTCACACAAATTTCAAAAAATGCCAATTTCTAAATAGGGTCCAGAATAAACAAGAAATACATTCCTGGCAATAAAACGGCATTTCCTCTGTTCATTAGTCACGTCTCAAGGCCCCTCTTACATTATTTTGCTTTCCACTTTGAATTTTTATTCTCACAAAAAATTAGAAGATTTACTGTTATGCATACTACTGCATTAGTGTAAAAAATGGTATAAATCATATTGGCGCACTTGCAAAAGAATATTAAACTCACCAGTTGATGTGTATTGGATGCTTGGCATGATTTGTTTACTTTTGAACTTTGGTAAAAATCGAACATATCTGCTACTTTGAGCTCAATTTCAAGGTACTTTTCATTGTAAAACCAGTCAAAATCATCTCAATTTCTGTGATATGCCTTCCTTTCTATAAAATGAGACCAAGAAAACTAGAATACAACAATAAATACCATACAAAAATACAGTGCAAAGTCGCTGTTTTATTCCAAAAAAAAGGTCAGTTTTTTTTTTTCTCATTATGCACTGTGTGCTGCAGGATTTTTTTTATACCATGCACACTGACCACATAGACCCATTCTTTCATATGGAGGCCTACCAGCCTTTTCCCGCAAGATTTGACTGCGCTAGAATTTATGCGTACTAGTACGTCAAAAACCCCTGCGCGTAAAACGTACTAGTACGTCCGAAACCCTCAAAGGGTTAAAAGAAAGGTTCGCTGACATAATTATTCCTAGGTCTTTTACGTGTTCCTTACATTCTATTTGGTGACCCTCTTGAGTTTTGTGTATAGTGCTCCTTTTGAGTTCTTCATTCTTTCCATACCTAAGCAGCTGTAACTTATCACCATTGAACGTCATGTTCTCCACTGCCCACTGGAAAACCCTGTTTATATCTTCCTGTACTTTTTCAGTGTCCTCTACCGTACTGACTTTCATTCCTATTTTAGTGTCCTCTGCAAATGATGTCTAATTTCTTAAGTTCTCCATCAAATTTTACATTGTTGGCATCATTCTTTCAAAAAAAAGATTCTCTAGTATTTCAGTTTTAAAATCATAAGTTTATTCAGGTACAGGTATACATAAATACAGTTACATAAATTATCATACATAGAAGCATGTATAGTACCTAGGATAACCTACACATATGCTATGTATAATTATTTATGTAACTATTTGTGTGTACCTATACCTGAATAAACTTATTTATGATTAAAAAAAATGAAATAGTAGAGAATCTTTTTACAGCACTTTTAATTTCAGAGGTTGCAACAGTGAAAGGGTTAGTAAGAAAAATTCTCACAAAGGCAAGATAACCAATCACAAAAACTTCCATCTTTGGTGTTGATAATGCATCATTTCTATGCCAATGAGCTATTGAGGTAATGCCCCATCAGCCAAGAACTTAAAAAAGGTCCATTCTATTACCATATCGAGTGAAGCTGTCCTGTAGGGTAAAATAATTTATACTGTTTTACACAATTACAATTTCCATTTTTAATAAAGTGGAACCTCGGCTTACAAATGCCCTACTATGCGAATTTTTCAGGATACGAACAGTCATTTGGTCGATTTTTTGCTTCTGGATACGAATGAAATTTCAGGATACGAACTTCCCCCTCAAGGAAGGTTCCTTAAATAAAATAATATTTCTTTGCATAGGTTACAATGTATGTTTACATATCATAATATGATTGGAGCAAAGAAAGCCACTATAATGCCAAGGCATTTCGGGGAGACTTAACCTAATACAGTACTAATATGTAGACTAAAGTCTAGACAGGTGAAAAGTGTACGAGTAGTGGTTACCAACGTTTTGCTGATGGTGGCACCAACGACTGGCAGCCTTTTGAAGTTTCTCCTTACTGTTATTACTATTATTATTACTATTACACTGTATTATTATTATTATAATTATTATTATTAGTATGTACATGGTGATGGGCTCGATCTAGGGAATTGGATCTGTGCTCCAGTTCTCTAAATTAATAATAATAATAATTATAATACTTGTGTATTAATAATAATTATAATACATACTAAGAATAATAATAATTAATAATAATAATAATGTCTGAGGGCAATGTGTGGTGTGAATATAATGCAGAGAATTCGTAGTTTGGAAGTTAGGAGGAGGTGCGGGATTACCAAAACTGTTGTCTAGAGGGCTGAGGAAGGGTTGTTGAGGTGGTTCGGACATGTAGAGAGAATGGAGCGAAACAGAGTGACTTCAAGAGTGTATCAGTCTGTAGTGGAAGGAAGGCAGGGTAGGGGTCGGCCTAGGAAAGGTTGGAGGGAGGGGGTAAAGGAGGTTGTGTGTGCAAGGGGCTTGGACTTCCAGCAGGCATGCATGAGCGTGTTTGATAGGAGTGAATGGAGACAAATGGTTTTTAATACTCGACGTGCTGTTGGAGTGTGAGCAAAGTAACTTTTATGAAGGGGTTCAGGGAAACCGGCAGGCCGGACTTGAGTCCTGGAGATGGGAAGTACAGTGCCTGCACTCTGAAGGAGGGGTGTTAATGTTGCAGTTTAAAAACTGTAGTGTAAAGCACCATTCTGGCAAGACAGTGATGGAGTGAATGATGGTGAAAGTTTTTCTTTTTCGGGCCACCCTGCCTTGGTGGGAATCGGCCAGTGTGATAATAATAAAAAAAATAAATAATAATACAATATAACAGTAATAATAATATGTTGTTACTTTTAGACATTTTTCATATTTTTTTTTCATATTTTTGTGGCAAATGCTTCAAAATAAAAATTGGTAACCCTCTGGGTTGCTGAAGGTACAGCTGCTACTACCACGTCTATCTCAGTGCCAACCAAGGGTCAAAAGGAAGACGAGGTGTGCCACTCTGAGTGACTGCAGCAGACCTTTGGGATGCGTAATTTTGTCTTATATTGTACAAATTTCTTACACAGTGCCTCGCCCAAAGAGACAGTATTTGCTTACAATCACCAAGAAGCTCAGGAAGCGACTAGAAACTATGAAAAAAGCTAGAGAAATGAAGGCAGCAGCAGCACAGAGTGGAACAGCTGGCCGCTGCCACCACCACCACCACCACCGTGGCCAGAGTGCTCATTTCTTCACCTATATATACATCTGTTTTGACCACACCTGTGGTTACATTTATGACAACCTCACCACTAATCATAGATAAACACAAGCTAGGTGTGGGGTTATGGACTGGGAAGATACTAGAGTGGGAGAGTAAATGGCAGATGCTTTCTGCCGGTGTCGCCTATTTTATTCATTCTAGAGTACGTATATATCATGTTTCTATGTTATTAATATTGTTTATGTCATAATAGACGAATTTTGATAGATAACTAAGCTGTAGAGTTGATATTAGCATTATTTTGTCATGCCTCCTGAAGGCTGGAACGGATTAATTGCATTTCAATTAATTTAAATGAGGAAAATTAACTCGGCATATGAACACATCAGGATACGAACAAGGTCACAGAAAGGATTAAATTCGTAAGCTGAGGTTCCACTGTATAGCATATACTGTATGCGTTGCCTATGTGCAAATCACCTTTAAATCTTAGAACCATCCAACTTTCTTTTGAAACTTGTACTCTTGATAAATGATAATGATATATGATGAAGTCGATTTCTAGAAAGTATGGTTTGCACGTTTCAGAAAAAGGTGACAATACTGACGTAACAGATTGCTTTATAGAAAT